ATGCGAGTTCTTGCTGTAGATGATGACCCAATTTGTCTCAAGTTATTAGACGGTCTGCTCAGGAAATGTCAGTATCATGGTACGTTATGCCTTGGCCTTGTCTGAATTTGAGTTTGAATTCTATAATTTAGATGTTTACTGGGTGGTTTCATGTTTATTATCTGACTTGTGTGCTTTTCGGGTTATGCTATGCCTTAGATTGGTCAAATTTCCATTTTCCATTGGATTCATGGCAATTGTTTCAGTTATGGCTTTGAAACTTCGTTAACACCTGCATCCCTCCAATTATTTTGTCGCTTGAGGGGCACGATTAGATTTTGAAGTAAGATTGTTGAATCTGCATTTGATATGATTCTAGGATGTATCATACTATCTGTTGTTTTAAAGACTCTGGACTTTGTTGTGTTTTAAGTGTAGCTTGGATGTGTAATGGCTGTTGTTCATAATGATTTGGTTGTTAGTTTCAAATTATTAGTTTTTCGAAACTTGAAACATTTAAGAGTTTATGATTTTCAAATCTTTTTCTTTCATAGTGCTGCCTTTGTCGTTTTACCTTTTTCTTCTTTCTTTTTTTGTTTATATTTAATGAAAGACAAGCAATTTTTGGTTCTGAATCTCTTTGTGAGTTCAAAGTTGTTGTGTTTGAAGAGCAGCCCCTTAAACTCACTTCGCTGTGGTCGAGGTTCATTTTGCTGATGCACATATACTAACTTATTCTATCGTTCATGGATCCTAACTTATTACTTTGGCTCATTTTCTGAAAGTGATCAATTGGAATGCTAGAGCAAGATAAGTTGTATCAGAGATTTCTTTTTGTTTCTGGCTTGACAAATACTGTTTTATATCCTGTAAATGCTGTTCTTCTGTATTTGGCTCTTTCTGCAAGATGTTACTTTTGCTTGGGTGCGTTGTGTACAAAGGCATCTTCATAAGTTGTGTGAGTGCTGTTTTGAATGATTGCACTTATTCTTCTTACTGACCATGGGGTGATGACTCTTATAGTTACAACAACAAGTCAAGCAAGAGCTGCATTGAAGATGCTGAGGGAAAATAAGGACCGATTTGACTTAGTAATTAGTGATGTTCATATGCCTGACATGGATGGCTTTAAGCTTTTGGAGCTTGTTGGACTTGAAATGGACCTTCCTGTCATCAGTAAGCAAACAAACTTCGTCTTCTATGTCATTTGGGAATGTTATGACTACTCCTTTCTGGAGTGCATTTGGGAACAGGAAGCCTGTCATTTGACTTATCTGCATTGTTTTGGCATTATTTGCTCTGATGAGTAAAGTAAAAACGTTTTACTATTTTGTCTCTCAAAATATATGCATATTGAGCGTTTAGGCATTATGTTATAGAAAGCCTTAGATCATTCTATATGAATTTCTAATAATACCTTGAATTCTGCCAGTGTTGTCAGCAAATAGTGATCCCAAGCTTGTAATGAAGGGGGTCACGCATGGTGCATGTGACTATTTGGTGAAACCTGTCCGAATTGAGGAGCTGAGGAACATTTGGCAACATGTTATCAGGAGAAAGAAGTTTGATACCAACAAGCAAGGCAAGTCTACTTATGAAGACAAGGCTCTTCAGGGACATGGAGATGTCTGTCAAGGGCATCAGAACACAGGTACCACAGATCAGAATGGAAAACTTAATAAAAAGAGGAAGGATGAAGAAGACGAGAGTGAAGATACCGGAAATGACCATGAAGATCCAGCAACACAGAAGAAGCCTCGAGTTGTTTGGTCCATTGAGCTACACAGGAAGTTTGTTGCCGCTGTTAATCAGCTTGGAATAGAAAGTGAGTACTCCAGCACCAATAATTCTGGCCTTTCTTCGTGTTTCATTTATATCTTTAACTACATTTTCCACTTTTTTTTCCTATGCAGAAGCAGTTCCTAAAAGAATTCTTGACTTGATGAATGTTGAAGGGCTCACTAGGGAAAATGTAGCCAGCCATCTCCAGGTATGAATTTATCCTCATGGGATTGTAAATTCTTTCCTCAATACTGAACAACCGTTTGCTTGTGATTGCTAGACATTTAGACATTTTTGGGATATGTATAGCACGAACGAGTAAAATGGCATACGATCATTACAGAATTGATGGTTTTTAAAAGAGTAGAAAAATGTAATATAAGTACTGTTTACCTGTGGCCTGAATGTCCCATAGCGTAATCCTTCTTAAGCAGAAAGCAGATTCCATGTGCTAAATGACAGGAATGACCATTATAACATCAATGGAGGCCAGTAATGGTTGCCATTTCAATGTCAATTAGGAAATTTGCAAATAAAAGGAGTGAAGGAAGGTGGTATGCTCCACATTAGTTGCAGTTAACTGTTTTCTTTATGAAGAACTTGATGCCTAAAATTTTAGAACTCTAAAATTTGCATATTTTCGTAGTCCACTTTTTGGCTTTTTGGATTCTAATAGTGCAAAAGTCCAATTGTAATGCAGAAGTATAGACTTTACCTGAAAAGGATAAGTTCAGTTGCAACCCAGCAAGCCAACATGGTTGCTGCATTAGGAGGTAAGGATGCTGCTTATATGAGGATGAGTACATTAGATGGATTTGGAGATTTTCGGACCTTGAGTGGGTCAGGAAGGCTCTCAAATCCTGCATTTGCTTCATACACACAAGGTGGCATGCTTGGTAGACTGAATAGTCCAGCAGGCATCAACCTCCGTAACCTTGCTTCACCTACAGTAGTGCATCCAAGTCATGCTCAAACTTTAAACAACTCCACTGGTACCCTTGGGAAATTGCATCCAGCTGTTTCTCCAGCAAGTCAAACTGCAAGTGTGTTTCAAGGAGTTCCATCATCATTGGAGCTTGATCAGTTGCAACAGAATAAGTCAGCCATGCATATTGGTGACTTTAATCCCATGGACGACTCAAGGATTTTTGGTGCTCCTAGTGCTTTTACAGACGCTAGAGCTCTAGCAATCAACTCAAATAGCAATTTAACTGGTGTTCCAAATAACAGTTTGATGCTACAGGGGAATTCCCAGCAAATACTAGCTGGGGGAGGTTTTGTAGATCAATCTTCTTTTCCCTCTGAATTATTCAACAGGGATGTTGGTGTTTCTTCCAAGTTTGTGGATCATGGTAGAACTAATGAGAACTGGCAGAGTGCAGTTCAGTTATCAAAATTCCCTTCGAATGCTTTGGCACCAAATGACTCTTTCAGCCAAGGACAACTGCCTCTCTCCAGTGTGAGAGACAATAATTCTTCAGCTGGACCTCATCAACAGAACAGCCCTCTTGGATTTTCTTCTACTGCGACCACTGCAGCTCCTCTTGAAGATTCAAGAGGAGAAATACAGTGTCAAGAAGGCTTGGTTAGTGGTAGTGTTCAAAATTTGAGCCAAGCATCAGCCCAGCGGTGGGGGGTTTCTAAGCAGAGTTATTCACACAACTCGAATAATAGTTTCAGCACCTTAAATCCTCAGGCTTCTCCTCCTTTAAGTCAGAGCATGGGACAAACTGGAATCACGGACAGAAGGATGGATATGTGTTTAACTGGCCAATCAGGTGTGGGCATTTCATCTTTCTTGCAGCACAGTCAAGTTGAGAACCCAACAACGGGGTCAAGAACAAGGTCCGGTGAAGACTACATGCTGGAACAAATAAGACCACAAGGAGGTTTTGTTCCTAATAGCTATGACTCCTTGGATGATTTAATGTCTGCAATCAAACGGGTAAGGGTGCTCTCCAGTTATCCTGCCTTGCTCATCTAGTTTCTGGATGCAGTATGCAATTATTGTTATTAATTTTACCTACATGAAGTGATTAAAAGGATGTTCAAATTAATTCGCCACAGATGAAATCTTTTATTCCATCTGCTCCGGGATTACTTATTTATTAATTATTTAACTTCTGATTTCACTAGCAAATATATGTCTATGTTTTGGGAGATTACTAACAGAATTCATAATCATTGTCTGCCCTTTTTCCCTGAAAGACTCGTATTGCTTTTATATTTGCGGTACATTCTCAAAGACATGCTAAAGATTATATTAGGACCAGCAGTGTAGAGCACTCTAAACTCAAAATCATCTAACTTTAATTCGTTTACCTTTTTTGGCTGGTGGAGGTGTTGGAGTAGATTATATGCATGATGTCCAATTTTGTGTCCCCCAAAAGTCATTGCCTTTCAAATTTGTAGGGAGAAGATGCATTTAAAATCAGTAACATCATAATCATCAATAGCCTTACTTTTCCAACATCGCCATCTTTGTATTAGGATATCATTCTGATATTTTGATGTTTGATGCAGGAACCAAATGGAAGCATGTTTGACGGTGACATGGGTTTTGATGCTTACCAATTTGGGTCATGCATATGAGGATTGTGGGTAGTGGCTCGTCCAGAAAGACCAGTGGAACCAACTTCTTAGAACTCACTCTTTAGGAGCTGTATCATTATGTAATCTCCTCTCTCTCTCTCTCTCTCTCTCTCTCTCTCCAAACAACCCCTCTTTTTCCCCCCTTTACACCCTTTTTCTCTTTATTCTTAAACTTCTAGTATGACATTGGCCAATCATAAGAGTTAGTATTATATGATCTACTATAATTCCTCGTATGGTTGCTTGTTAGCAAGCTAGTTTTAATGGTTTCCTTTTCGCTGTTCTGTGACTTGTCAGCACATTCAACAACATAAAAGCATTCTACATATCAAAATGCATTAAACTAATCATTCTTGAATACTCAAGTATTCCTGAGAATCACTATTCGGACTTGATAAGTAAATATGAATGGCTACTGAATTGTCAGAAATGCAACATACAACGGACTCTCTACGCTTTAAGTATTTCCCGTGATACCGTTTGATCCAGCCCGAGTTTTAGTTATTTAAAAAAGAAAAAAAAAGTTCTGACCTGAGTTTTATGTTCAAGTTCACAGGGAATTACAGAAAGTCTTTGTACCTTCTAATACCACAGAGCTTCCAAATCTCAGAAGTTAAAAGTGCACAGCAAGCAATGAGAACTCTTTTGTAGGCTCTGCCTAGAAGAGATTTTGTTATCACACTAATGAGCATTCTCATCACAGGAAGTTTTTAAGTATTAGAAGCACATTCTGACACTGAAGGAAATTTCAGGAAAAGATGTTAAATCATGTAAAAATAGTTCCCAACTGCCAATGCTGCAATTTGACTCAAAAGGATGAAGTAGAATGAAAGCAAGCTGCCCCTCAAAAGAAATGGCACAGAAAATAGTACTAAATCATTAGCCCATCTTGAATGTCCAGTCAAATGTTGAGAATACGGTAAAACCATCTTATGCTGCCCTTCCTGCTTCCATTAAAAGCGACCATTAAGACAATGCAATAAACAAGCTGGCTGGTGCTGGCTTAAAATGGACTGCCGAGCTCTATCACACTTGGGTGATCACGAAGGACCTGTAAAAATTCTATCCCTGATGAATGCAGAAGAGTTTTCAGCAACATAGCAGCATGTACATTTGTTTTTAATGTGAGCCATCTTAATTACTGGTGGATACAGAGGTCAAAGGTAAGATTGAAAGCGGCAGAGAGCAAAATTCTTTCGCAATCTTGTATCAACCGAGCCAGCGAATCTTTTCGCCATCATACAAAAGCTCACCTCTTCTATTCCCCTTCCCAACCTAGTTGACGGGCTCTATGTTCCCACATGGAAGTTATTTTCTTTTCCTTAGTAAGTAGTGCCTGAGCTCGTTCTCTAGCTTCCTCACAAGTTTCTGTGGCAGCATTGCATTTTTCAGCTTCCCTTTGATATTGAGAAGCCAACCTTTTTGCTTCTCCTAAGGTGATATTCATATGATGCATGTGCTCCTCACCAACAGTCTCTTGCAGCTTTAGCTCCTCTGTCAGTAAATCCACGAATTGTTTCTCCATCTCTTCCTTCAGATCAGGGTCATCTTTTCCACAATCTGTCATTGCAAAGGAAGTATTCAGAATTGGGTCTTTTAATGCACACATGAATTGTGTGATGCACAAACAACATTCACAAGGGCCTATAAGATTATCCGCAATTCTCATCTTTATGGTGTCAAGTTTCTCACTAAAAGAAAGCTACTTAAGAATATTACTAATCAGCCTTGAAATATTCTATCAACCAAAATTATACAGAAATACTTCCACAGCTTCTCATTTCGGCTGCATTCATAGCTGAGGCTCCTAGATATGTACAAAAAGCTGGATTTAAAATGAATGACTACTCATTTAATGAAAAAAAAACAAATGGTATCCTCTTCATTTCATTTATTTTGAGTAAAGGAGTGCTGCATTTTCTTGAGTTGTAGGTTAAGGGAAAAAAAATGAATAACCACTCAAAACCATTATACTTTTCCTGCCATCATTTTTCTTTTTCAACTTCTGGCAAACGGAAGACATGACAATTCTCTAATCCAAGAATCGGAGAGTAGAATAAGAAATCTGAAGCATAAAAAAAAGGCCCTGAAATTCTGATTTGCAAAAAAGAACATAGTTCAAGGAAGAAGCTCACCTGTAACAGAAAGATTTGCCAAGCCTGCCAAAAGATAACATACAAGTGTTTAGTTCAGGTAAATTCAAGATTTAAAAAAAAAAAGTACTACATGCAAGCTCCTATCCAGTTTGTAAACAAAGCCTGGGAAGCACAAGATTAGGAATGACACTCCACTTGCTCCTGGTAGGATGGGAATTGGGAATAGAATAACATAATAGAACTGTTCAGACCTACAAATCATATCTTTCAATAAAGAGCACAACAAACTTGTATAAGAAAAATGGAAAAGAGCATCCTTTCTTCCATATATTAGACGTGACTTTTGAGCTGCATCGATAAGGTTGGATATAGACCCTCCATGACTACCTGACTTATCATACCATGCAGTTCACTATCCAAGTCAACCACAAGTTTTTCTTGAATACAATGGTTTTCAGTAAAAGCAGATGGAATGAACACAAACTATCTGATGTAGAATGCATTAATAAGTGTGATGCATTTCGGAAAATAACTTCAGTAAGTTTGGAAGGGAAGTTGTTTTCCATAAGATGAGTGAAAATATTTTACAGAGGAAAATGTTTTCAATAACTTTTGTGCAACCAAACACGGGAAATTAGGAAAATATTTTCCTGGAAAACATTTTCACCTGAAACAAACGGACCCTTAGAGACTCAATTTTTCAGGGCGTATGAGGTCATTTTCTCCATAAATGATAAATGTAATCAGACAGGGAATTGCTTATCTTGGAATCACTCCATTAACTAACCTTGTCGTGATAGTGCCAAGTTGTCATCAGCTCCAATATGCCAAGCAAAGTACCCAAGAAGTCCATTTTGTTTAGCATATGAAACCTTGGTGGAAACTGTTTGATTATCATCATAACCGATCCATGTTGTTCCAGCATAGCAGTAATTGCAGACATATGTGGAATTATACACCACAACCGCCCCCGGGGTTTGAGCTACAAAGGTCCTTATATCTTGGTACCGCTCGACTCCATTATCCGGACCGGCAGCTCCATTTGCCGGAGCCAGGATCCCATGATTATTCGCGTTTACCAATCGCCAAGCATATCCGTAAAATGGGATTCCAAGAACCAACTTCTTTGCCCCGACTCCAGCTTTTTCCCAATCTGCAATGCCAGAACTTCCACTAGCTTGGCCAGAAGGGTCCTTTAATGCAGCGTGACACCTGGTAGAAGTACTTGGACGATCTGGAGCGTAAAAATCATAAGCCATAAGATTTATCCAATCCAGGCTTCTAGATACTGATGGAATAGGATACTGATATAATCCATCCACCTTTGATGCAAACGAAACTGCAGCTGTCAAAATCAGCTGTGGCTTGCCTGAGTTCTTGGCCTCAGTTGCCACCGCGGCTCGCCATTCATCCAGGAGTGAGCCCAAGTTTTTCATCTCAGAAGCGGATTGTGGGTATTCCCAGTCCAAGTCTAGACCGTGGAAATTGTTGGCTCGAGCCAAGTTTATTGAAGAATCAATGAATGACTTGCGGGAAGATGATTGACTGGCCATTGAAGCAAAATCAGCTCTATTAGAATTTCCACCACCAATGGATAGAAGGGTTTTAACTGAAGGGTTTTTGAGTTGAACTGTTTTGGTGAATTGTGAAAAGGGGCCAGCGTTTGAGGAGGATATGGTGACTTTATTGGATTGGGGATCAAGATCAGCAAATGCACAAAACAGATGAGTGAAAAGTTTGGAATCAATGTCTGAGAGTGCAATTCCACTATCCGGAAACCAGTAGCCTGCTTTGACAGCATTTTGTCCATGACAGAAGTTAAGATGGAGAACACACAGAGTTAAAGATAGTAAGATGAACTTAGTTATGGAAGCCATTGAAATTTTGAAGGAAAAGGAACCCTAATTTGGTATTTATTCAATTCACAACGCAAATAAAGTAGGGATCAAACTAAGCTGTAGTGTTATAGTATGCGCCCATGCTGGCTAGTTTAATCGTACAAGCATCAAAGTTCTCTTTGACAAAAAAAAAAAAAATTAAATAAATCAAAAAATAAAGGACAACCTTAATGGAAGAAAGTAGTACTTAAAATTTTATAAATTTCATTTAGAGATTGTTTGGGTCAAAAATAGTTGCCAATTTGACTGGTCTTATAGTTAGTGTTGTACAAGTCAACGAACAATTCATTGGCGAAATTTCAAAAGCTGAAATGTTCAATGAATTGTGAGATGATATTCAAAAGCATGGTGTTGTCTTATCATATTCTTTTAAACTTTTTTGATCCGTTGTTAGCAGCATTGTGAAACTTGTAATTAATTTTTTTACACTGTTTCTGCATATCTAAAGGTATTTGAAGTTGAAATTATGACAGTACAAGTACCTTAGATCTTTGGCAGATTAAAATCTATTTTTAGAAGATTTTATACGCAAGAAGTCCTAGTGTGGTCACGACATTTAAAATGCGCAGAAATTTTTATTGTGCCCAAAAACTTCCACCATAGTTGCAACAAAAAATTTGATCATGTATGCACTTTTTTGTCAAAAGAACACTTCGAAAGACAAATTTGGTTGTGTGTTTCTTTCTTTAATGTGCAAATGAAACATATTCAGTGAACAGAATTTGCAAGCACATCCTTTTGTGGATAGAGGAATACCCCGAGAATAAGCCTTGGGAAAATTCGAACACTTTATCGCTTTCTTGACCTTGTTTCATACACTATACTTTTACATTCCAACTTAGTAGCTCCAATTCACAGTTTGGGGCACTTGGTTGTACTATCTAAGAAATTGTCTTTTACCTGTGGAAAAAGGAGGCCATAATTTCTGGTGACAATGCTTCAAAATGATTTATCTAAACTCAATTTATAACACCATTGTGAACAGGCTGATCTACTCAGGCTGCTTGAGCTTAGCAGTTATGATTTCAAGTGACAAGCAAGGCAATCTATTATATAACTTGCCGGCAATTAACGTGCGTGACTACATTTTGAAATTCTACTTCTCATCCTTTTTTTTTGTGGTTTACCATTATCGTAGGGTTTTACACAACGAAAGAATATAATACTTAAATCAATCAAGGACAATTCTAATCTCCTTCAAATATGTGACTTGGAATAAACAACTTGCAGCTCAAAAATTGAGAGATCATCATCCTTAATATCACATGTAGTTGTGTTTATTCATCCAATTTTCTATTGTATTACCACAAGGAAGACAATTTGGATCATTTGAATCCTAGAGACATACAAATTGTTGAAGAGAATAATCAAAAGCAAAAGTTAGGAAGCATTTACAATTTAGAGGAAAGATGGGCAAAATTGACAGAAACAGGACTGATCAAAGAATAGCTTTGGATCCTTTGTTATATTTTGGTCGCAACAGATCTTTTGTCTCATTTTTTATGTTATTTTCTATCTCACTTTTTACTGTATTGCTATTTCTCCTATATAAACATCATATTTTAGTTTCATTTTGTTTCATTAATATCCAATAACTATTAACTGAATAATACACAAAATTTAATAAACTCAAAAAATTTAAAATGCATAAAAAATGAGATTTTTGATGAAATTTCTGTTGTATATTTTTAATTTTCCATTGTACATCATTTTTTTTTGAAACTATTGTATTTATTTTTTTGCTCAGTTAATAGTTATTAGATCTTGCCCTCCGCAGGTAGTTTGACTGGTTATGTAGCCTGGTAGTTACTAGCAGGTCCCGAGTCCTGCGTACTATCTCACTGTATATCCTTTGGGTAAGATTCTATATAGCCTTAGCGGATTAGTCTGGCCGAAAGATTAGGATACCCTTAAGTGAAAAAATAGTTATTGGATCTTAAGAAAATAAAAAGTATGATATTTATAAAGGACAAATAGTAATATGAAAAAAAGTGAGATAGAGAATGACACAAAAAATGGAATAGAAGATCCATTGTCGGGTGAGTGCGTTGTTGGCTAGTGCATGGTGAATAACGAAAAGGAAGGTCTAATTAATGGAGGGAAAGTTGTTACTCAAGAGAAGATAAGCGGCAATGAGAATGCCTTGAAAAAAAATAAAAATTAAAACACAACTCTTTTGCCTTGAAAAAAAAATTAAAAAACAAGTCTTTGGTCTGTCCAAAAGTTTTATGCTGCTGCTGTTCTTCTTCTTCTTCTGCGCCAACCAAGTTTTTAATTTGCTTTGGCTGCTATATTGGTTGATAAATGATATTGCCACATTAATTAAGTTTCTTCTAAAACACCGATGATAAATTTATCATTTAGCAAAAAATTTGCTGTGACATTAAAATAAGTGTTGTGTCACCTGTTTGCTTCTACTGTATGTGGAATTTTTTTTTTTTAAAGTTGCCCAAGATATATGTGGAATTTTTTTGTGCACTGTGTGTGATGTGTATATACATGAAATTGGACATTTGATAGGGTGTATTTTGTATTATATTTATATGTACAAGTCGCTGGTTAACTATATTATTTAACCTTTCTTTTGAATGGAAGCTACTTAATTTTGCTCTTATATTGTTCTAATAGGTCAAGGGAAACGGACTAAAAATGTGGTGTGAAAAAGCAATGGAAGGAGAGAACATGAAGAGTAAGAGGATTAGCACGAACAATATATTTTAGTATTTTGGTAATAACTTGAGCTACATAAATCGAATTGCGATGATTCTTGATTCATTTGAAGTTAAGCAAATGCTCTACGATTGTTATGAGACATGAAAGGCCTGCTCTCATGTTTTCACAGCCAAATATTCAAAACACTAAAGTATAGTTGCACTGCAATGTTCTTCTGACCAATTCTCAATATTTTAGACATATCTCAGTGTCCTGACCTTTAAATGACATGATTTTTTTCTGCATTGGAAAGTTAATTCAAAGAGTTACAAATTTTATGTTTGAGCAAGAATTGATTCGGCTTTGATGACAGAGATTTTTAGCCTTGAATTGGATCCGCGCGCAGATGCGAAGAGATCCATCCACAGATCTTTAATAGCTTGCGTTGATGTTCACGCCAGAGTTTTTCTAGTCAAGACATCAGATAAAATACAAGCGCCGAAGTTTAGGCCGATGTTTGCACCAGTGTTTATCGGGAAAATGCGCAAAATTGTCATTTTAAGCTCGAATAAACCATATCCTACCCCTTTCTGATACTATTTTAAGAAACTATAAATAGGGGCTATTTAGGACATTTTTTGGGGTGGAAAATATTAGAGTTATCTAGTTTTAATATCTTTTCACAATTTATTCTTGAGAGATCAAGATCAAATGAAAACAAATCAAAGAGCACACAAGAAAAAAATTGAAGCAAGCAACTGAGCCTTTGTGATCTCAAGGGTAATATTTAACTCGCCTTCACGATCTCTTGTATTTCCTTCTCCCTAAGCCTGCTTCACACCACCAGTTGAAGCTATTGCCCTAGACCTCAAAATCTTCCACGGCCTAGCTTCCACGACCAACTTTTCAACCCTATTTCCACTAACCCCATTCAAGGGGTAATATCCACATGAGAGAATTCATAGCCCAAATGCTAAGAACTAGTAAATTTAGCTTCATGGCTGAGGAAAATGCCCCACTAGTATATTATATACATAGGCGTGCGAGGTGCGTGCGCTATCTCTTCTTTATCAATATCAATAGATGATGAAGAATATTTTTGTTAGTCTTTTTATCTATTAATTCATAGATTTAAAAATATGAGAATTGTTTAACAATTTTGTCAAAGACGGTTTTTGTGATAAAACTAAAACTACAAAATAAACATAAAAAATATGGTACGAAGAAAAGGTCTAATTTTGAGAAATTTAGCAAGCAAAGCCGTGGCCGTTTTTGAAAAGTTTTTTCATCATCACGATTGTAATTTTTCATGTTTGTAGCCTTCAATTTTGGCATGTGTGGTTGGCCTTTGCAAAATCAAGTGCTTTGATGCGTGCAGCTTCCAGGGGTTGATTTTTTGAGTTCAAAAAGTTGATCCTCTCATATTTTTTGGACTTCTTATAAATCATAATGGCTTCAACTGTAGTTTCCTTTCTGATATCTTCTATCCTCTTGGAACCTTCATCCTTGAGCTGATTGTACTCTGCAGCATCTATAGTTAATTGACTTCTTAAAGCTGTATTAATTGCCTTCTCTTTGTCTAATTCTCTGGTTAGAGTAGCAATCTGAATTTAGCTTCTGCTTTGTTCGATTGCCAAGCAGCTCTTTCACTTAAAATCTACTCTATCTCTTTAATTGCTCTCTCTAGATGACTAAGAGCTTCCCTTTTAAAAGCTAAAATCTGTTTCATACATGTTTAGGGTTTAGGGTTGAATTATATTATGGTCGAATTTGATTTGGACCAACTGTAATTTCCCCAAAATTAAATTTTTTGAACTAGTACAAATACATGGAAGATAGGAATACTGCAGAAAATTCGCCTTTATTGTAATGTTTATTTCCTATATGCATGAAAATGTTCAAAAATCATGTATTTTTAATTCTTTAAAAATCAAGTGCATTCTATTTGACCTTGCTTCCTTTGATTACTTGATCATTTCAAAAATTCCATTTGACTGATTTCAGAAATTTTTTCGAGATTGTTGCTGATTTTGATCCAAAAGAGAACATTTTTGTAGATCAAGAGAAAGTTCATGAATGTAATTATATATTCTTTAACCTGTGAGAATATTAGGACTTCAGTCAATACAATATTAGGACCTCAATCACTACAACAAGGTTGACCTTGATATCATCACAGCTAGGGAACTGGATGGGAGTTTAAATAGCCACTCTTTCCAAATTTACAGCGACAATAGGCAGCCAATATACTACCCTTCTTCGACATATCATTTTTCGTCCAAATCGTCTTGGTCCCAATCATATCATCACCTCAGGTTGCGTAATTCAATGTGATGGTGGTGGCAGATGGATGAATATGGGCAATGTCAATGACAGCAGTGGAGGTGTCATTATAACACACAAAAATCGATCATAGCATATTTATACAGCATGTCAAGGGTAATATTCACAAGAGACAATTCGTTGTGCAATCTTAGGAGCTTATATTGCTCTTGCACCCGTAGCAAATGCTCTTAGTAGCTTCCTTAAGAAGTGCTGGGTATCCTGGCCTTGGTTTGCCACTACCACAATATCAAGTTTTCCTGATTATACAAGAGAAGAAGTTCGTCTTGCTATGGCCGACCATTTTCTAGGGCATCTCTAACTAGACATGCAGAAAATCAAGGCAATGTTACTAACATTCATGGCTGTGATAATTGGCGTCATAAACTAGATTTTAATTTGGATTGGATGAGTGATGACGAAATAGGCAATATGCTAAGTGAAATTACAGTTAACACCCAATCTATGTCATGAAGATATCTTGTAATATCTGATCCCTCGTCCAAATACGACTCAAGCTAGCAGAACAAATGATGAAGAAGAGCAAACAATGTGCTGCATTTATTTGGATGAATTGTGGCAGCTATCAGGACCTTGTAGCGCTGGGCTATGGCAACGCAGGCCAAGGGCATCAGATGGTGGCTAGCTGAAAGAACTTGTACGCCTTCTGTAATAAGTATGGTATTCGAAGCTGGGGAGAAACTAAACCAGCCTCATGTACTAAGTCGATCCTCTTAAAGTTGTATAAATTGCTCCTCTTTCTCTAAATCTCTTGTCGGAATAGTTTTCGATTTGTTTTTTGGTTGGCTTTTTTGGGTATCATGCATCAAACTGCTTTAGTGTGGCAATTTTGCCTCATAACAAATAAGGATAGTGCTTAATTTTCTAGTGCTTGGAAAGCTTGTGTTCAGGCTTCTTTCTCGTCTCATTAGAAATAAGGTAATGTGGAAGAAAAGAGAAGTGTTGTGGCTAAGAGAACAAGGGCTCAAATAAAGTGTCAATTGAAGGAAATGATTGATGAATACTATGAGAAGAAGCAAAAGAAGAAGACAGAGGAAAGAGAGACCATGACTCATGAAATGAACACTATTGAGGGGAAAAAGAGGAAAAAATTGGAGTCAAGTAAAGTCACAAGAAATGTCGAAGAAATGGTTAGAATTAGCAGCAGTAGCAGTGATGAAGAGCAAGAAGGGGAAAATGCTAATCGAAAAATCTTCAATAGAAAGAGAAAGAGAACTGCTAAAAAGATTTTCAATGATGAGAGTAGTGAAAATAATGTTAGGATTTTGGGTAAAGAGGAAGTGGTAGAAGAAGTGAAATTGAAGAAATTTAACAGGAGGAGGAGGAGAAGGAGGAGAGAAACTATTTATAAGGGTAAGAATGATGATAGGAAACGGGAAGTAGTGTTAAGATTTAGCAAGAACACGAAAAGGGTGAAGAAGTGATAGCAGATAAAATGAGGGCAAGAATGACTCTGATGATGGTGATAGGGGAAGTGGATGTGATGTTATGTTTGTAAATGAAGAAGATGTTCCTCCAAATTTGAGATGCAATTATGTAACATATAGGAAGCGGTTACTACATAGAGAAAAAAGAGGTAGAAGTGATGGAAATAAAACAAGTGAAAGGATGACTATTAAAGAAGCACATTTTTGAGAACCGCCAACACAAATTTTCTTTGCACAGGAAAATTTTTTATTTTCCTTTCCTTTTGTCTTTTCCTTTCCAAATCTCTTTTCCAACCTTGTTGCATGTTGACTATTTTGATTCAATTTGATTGAAAGTTAATATATGTTTTCAATTCAATTCAAATCCTTTTAATTGTATATTATCTAGAATTGTTATATTATCTGCCCTATCTTCAGTTTTGTTAATTTAGCAACAAAAGAGGTTCAAATCTCACACATATTATTAAAAAGCCTTAGCCTATGTGAATCCTGTTCAAGTTTGAGGTCGAAATGATGTGTTCCATGAAATAGGCAGTCTTGCTTTGTCGGATTCCACTTCTGCTCTTGAAGCCATGAGCTGTTCCCTTTCTTCTCATTAGGCCAGTGGCCACTAGTTTTTCTTTTTCTTGCAGAAGAAAAAATCCTCTCTAAAGATGATTTAAAGTTCACGAATGTGAAACTACAAGTTATTATATATAGGCTACAAAACATATTTTCCTAAATGATTGACACGCATCGCGCACGCCCATGCAGGAAAAATGTAGTTTTTTGTCTACAAGTCAGAGCTGAAGTTTTTCTTGTTGGGAACCGAATAGAATGAATGAAAGCTTTTTCTGCCTGTAGCTGGTTTGGGTTTTTTTTTTAAATATATGAAAGGAGATCTTACGAAGGTCCAGAGAACCAACAAATACAGCAAAAGCTTTGGAAAAAAGGTAAAAACTCTAACAAACTAAACTATCAAACTACTCTAGAAGAAAAATATAACAAATTAATTAGTTTTAAGAAATTCAATTGAAGGCGGAATTTTATTAGACCCAACTAGTGAGTTCACCGTTTACTTGTGGCAAAGCTGCATGCTGCTTTACTTCACTTATCAAGTTTTTTTTACTATATTCATACTTTTGGTAAGTCAATTGTGCTCCATCTTACAAATAGGACAATGGTCTTTGACGCCTCCTGCATTTGCAATAGCAACTGGTCGAATCAATTGCAAGGGCCACTTCTTTTTTTTTTTTTTTTTTTTTTCTTTTTTCTTTGCATTCATTCTTTCTTTTAGCAACTTGGATTGCAAAATTCAGTATGCGTGTGTGTCCGACTATATATGTCGTGCATGCTAAGAAATGGTCGTTTCGATTGAGGGATTTGACGAATGATTTGAAATTCTCTCAAATTCTTCTAATCATTTAGATTATTTAAGAGGTATTTGAATATATAAATTATAAATTATTATAATATTTAAAATGTATTTTGATAATTGATGGATTATAAATTCAAAGGCTTTTAAATAATTCAAACAAATAGAGTGATTTGAGTAAATTTCAAATTATTCATTAAATCCTTCAAGCCAAATGAAGACCTGCGTCGGAGTAAATTTTTTAATTTTTTTAAACTTCCCATGAGGTGGTATATGATCTTGAATTGTGATTAGATTCACATTTAAAAATTACTTTCTTCGAAAAGATTAATTTTGCTCAGAAAATATTAGCAGCAGAATATGTTTAAATAAAGACAAGACAAAAAAAAAAAAAAAAAATTTGGCAGCAGATTCAGTTTGAAGAAAGAGAAGACCAAATGAAAACGAAGAGTTTTTCTTTCTCTGTGAGTGCCTGCAGAATCCACACAACAAAACCCCATCCCTCTGTTTATTCTCTCTTTCTTTCTCGCAGCTCACTTCTTTCCAAGGTACTCTTTCCAGCCAAACCAAAATCTTCAGTAATAAACTTTTCTTATATCCTATGAAAGCCTTTCAGTTTGTGTGCGCTTTTCACATGATTTACTTGCTATAGAAGAAATCTGCATGATTTGGTTCTTTATGTTTCTTTGGACAGCATTTTAATAGTTCGTATCTGAGCAAAATAGCTTGCAGATATAGTGCTTTCTTAATCAATTCCTGCAATTAAAGAAAATACCATGTCTATGGTTCTGCTGCAAAAAATGATCGAATTCCCATCGTCTAGTGAGCTGCATGGTCAATAGCATAAATAAAAGGGTAGCAATTTCTAATTGAAATTTAAAGTCATGATTAATATCTTCGGGCTTGATTGACTTTTTGGTAGAATCCACATCACATTCCTTGTACTATTTCCTGTACTTAATTAGATTGTTCCCTTGAAATGTAGGACCATCGAAGTGACTAATGACGACATTTGAGTATTGCAAAATCTCATGATCGATATATCATCAGTTCATCTACTGAAACAATAAAAGAGTACAAAATATATGTGCTCTCCAAAATTGATACACACTTATGGCACGGACTTTTGACACAGTTTAAGGAAGCTGAGATCGCATTCTGCAATATTAATAGACTTTTGACAATGTGCTCGTACTGTGTTCAGTTTTTAACCTGAGAAAATGATATCGTTAGAGTCAGTTGATATTCAGAAAAACAGAGAACTGTTGCAAAGGACTTTTATTGATGAGTTGATTGAGCAGTATCAATAATCTTTTTTGGAGTTTCATCATCAGCTTCATGAATCTCAATTGGACAGATTTCTTTAAAGAGTTGTTTTAACTGCGATTTATGGCTATCTTGGATTAGTTTATAAATCATTTTTCCTTCTTATTTTCGACACGCCCTCTTTTTTTTTTTTTGTTTATTTGTTTATTTGTTCTTTTTTGCTTTTTGTTCATATGAGAATATCATTGATCACGTTACCGAACTTTGATATACTAATATATGTGATTAGGTGAGCAGAAAAGTGGACAAGGAACAGTCCAATTCTCAAAGATATTAGAATTCCTACTGTTGTAGAGAGAAAGCTTTTGGTGCTTATTCAATTCATCACCAGGAGATTTTGCACTCACTTCTCCATATGGCCTGTTTTGCTGGAAAGCTTTTGGTGCTGTTACTGATTAATACACAATAACCTCTTTTTTTTTTTTGTCTTTTTTTAACTACCTATTTCTTTTTTACACATTTGAAATTCACCATAATTAACATTCTTATTAGAAAGAAGTGCTAAAGATGCTTTTATTTTACATAAATTTCTGGGGAAACTAACAATAGAGGCTGCAAAGTACAAACTGAAAATTTGAAAAAGCTACTACCGACAGAAAAATTAATTTATGGTCTTGATTATAGCATTGGAACGTGTATCTAAATGACTTGGCTTATAAAATATGTTAAGTGTTAGACACGATTGTGCTTGCTTTCGCATTGCTTTATCTGACTAAATAGCACTCCAATCAAAAAGCAAAGATGTGATCACAATCTGGCCGGCAGCGTAGCACAGCCAACTGAAATAATTTAGGCCCGACAGTGGTCAATTATGCCAATTATATTATCTTATAAAGATGCCATATGCTGTCCACTGTATGTATTCTTTATGAGGAATCAAGTATTTAAAGCTACTACGAGACGATTCCCTAAAGAAGAAGACTTAATCTACAGGTTAAGATGACATTTATGATGCATTTCCTGCTCTACTTGCCTCTGGTTCTCTCAAACTTGTACATCATCTTTGATGTTAAGTTGGCATCAGCCCATTGCCTGAGTGAACAGAAAGGTTTGTTGCTTCAGTTGAGGAGCAATCTCACATATGACTCTTCGCTTTCTACCAAGCTGGGGAGCTGGGAAGAACACACTGATTGCTGCAGTTGGAGAGGTGTGCATTGTGATGATGCTGGTCATGTTATTGACCTCGACCTTAGCAGCGATTCAATCACTGGCAATCTTGACGATTCAAGCACCCTTTTCAGCCTCCGATTTCTCCGAAGATTAAGCTTAGCCGGAAACTCTTTTGACTCTACGGATTTGCCAAAGGGGTTTGGCTTGCTAAACCAATTGGTTTATCTGAACTTGTCAGAAACAGGCTTTGCTGGGCAAATCCCCAGTAATTTTTCACGAATGTCCTGGTTGGTAACATTAGACCTCTCTACTTTTTCCCCTGGCTATGTGCTCTCACTGAAACTTCAGAACCCAAATTTGAACATGTTGGTTCAGAACCTCACGAGGCTTATAGAACTTCGCCTAGATGGTGTTGATATTGCCGCAGCAGGGGTTGATTGGTGCGATGCTGTGTCATCTGCACTGCCTGATTTACAAGTCTTGAGCTTGTCCAACTGCAATATTTCAGGCCCATTCGACTCCTCTTTGGCAAAACTTCAGTCTCTTTCTGTTGTCAAACTTGATGGCAACAAATTTTCAGCTTCACTTCCAGGGTTCTTCGCAAAATTTGCCAATCTAACTACCTTGAGTGCTAGTTCGTGTGACTTGCTAGGAGAAGCTCCGCAACAGATATTCCAATTACCTACTCTGCGGACCATTGACTTATCAAATAATGGGGAACTTGGTGGCTGTTTACCGGAATTCCCTGACAACGGATTCTTGGAGAGTTTAGATCTTAGTTACACTTCCTTTTCAGGAAATTTACCAGACTCTGTTGATAATCTTAAAAAATTATCCAGCTTGAAACTCTTTGGTTGCAATTTTTCAGGACCAATTCCTAGTTCAATATCGAACCTTTCCCAGCTTGTCTCGGTCGACCTGGCAGTGATCATTTTATGGGTTCACTTCCATCCTTCACCCTGTCCAGGAACCTTAGCTCTGTAAGCCTTCGTGACAATAAATTGATGGGCAAAATTCCATTAGATTGGGAAGGCCTCAAGCATCTCACCATTCTTGACCTGAGCAACAATTCACTTAGTGGAGAACTTCCTGCGTTCTTGTTTTCTCTACCATCACTGGAGAGCTTGAAACTTGCGAACAACCAGTTTTCTGGTCAGATCAATGAACTAGAAGGTATGTATCCATCTCCGCTAGGAGAACTTGACTTGAGTAGCAACAATCTTGAAGGGCCTATACCCCAGTTTTTATTTAAAATCACTAGTCTCTCAAGTCTCTCTCTTGCTTTCAATAAATTTACAAGCACCGTAGAGTTGGTTGGATTTATCGAGCTGAAGATTCTTGCTGTTCTTGATCTTTCCTACAATAACCTGTCAGTCGGCACAAGAGGAAGTGACTCTGCCTTTTCTTTGCTCCCCCAGTTTAATTCTTTGATGTTGGCCTCTTGCAAGCTGCAAAAGTTTCCCTTTTTGAAGAACCAATCAAGATTGAATATGCTAGATCTTTCAAATAACCAAATAACTGGTGACATTCCAAACTGGATATGGGAAATTCATGATGGCTATCTCCCGTATTTGAATCTTTCTCATAACCATTTCACGGTTCTTCAAGAGCCTTACCATTTTCAAACTCATTCCTATCTGGACATCCACTCCAATCTGCTTACTGGAGCTATGCCTTTACCACCACCATCAGCTGTCTATGTGGACTTCTCGAGCAATAAATTTACCTCTTCGCTCGCAGCTGATATTGGTAATCTTCTCTCATCTGCCATTTATTTCAACATTGCAAACAACAGCATTGTTGATGACATTCCTCTATCACTATGTAATGCAACTCTTCTAGAAGTACTTGACCTGTCAGATAATAGTTTGAGTGGCTCAATGCCTTCATGTCTCATGGCAATGTCCAGATCCCTCGTGGTACTGAATTTGCATGGAAACAAACTCAGTGGAAATATACCCAATACATTGCCAAGGGACTGCAAACTAGAGACATTGGACCTGAGTTTTAATCAATTTGAAGGCGAAATTCCACAATCTTTGGTCAACTGCAGAAAGCTAAAGGTATTAAACCTCGGCCAGAACAGGATTGGCAGCACTTTTCCTTGCAGGTTGGACAAATTGACCAATATGCGTGTCCTTGTTTTGCACTCAAACAGATTCAGTGGGAAAATTAGTTGCCCCAACTCCAACTACAGCTGGCCTCATCTTCAAATTATTGACCTGGCGTCCAACAATTTCAATGGTGTATTGCCACCAAAGTTTTTCTCAAGCTTAGGTGCAATGATGGCTGACGGTGATAAATCAAATTTGCACCTTGACCTTCTGCATTACCAAGGACGAGATTTCAAAACATACTATCAGGATACAGTAACAATGGCTTTTAAAGGAACGCCAACAACGCTGACAAAAGTTCTTACCACCCTGACTTCCATTGATCTTTCAAGCAATAATTTCCAAGGGTCAATGTCAGAAAAAGTTGGAGATCTCATATCACTGCTTCTTCTCAATCTGTCAAACAATACCCTCACGGGCCAAATCCCATCATCAGTTGGGAATTTGAAGAATCTTGAATCATTGGACCTCTCCTCCAATCAACTGACTGGGGAAATACCAGAGAATATGTCAAGCCTCACCTTCCTGTCATTGTTAAATTTGTCACATAATCAACTAGTTGGAAGGATTCCAGGAGGAAGACAAATGCAAACATTCCTAGAAAGTTCTTTTGAAGGAAACAGTGGTTTGTGTGGATTCCAGTTAAACCGAACTTGCAACGGTGACAGAGATCCTGCATTTCCAGAGTCTCAATTGGAGGAGAAGCAGTTATATTCCAAGACAGATATCTGCGTTAGTGCGGCAGTTGGATCTTTGGTAGGTCTAGCTTTCATTTTCGGGCCACTTTGGCTATCCAAGAGGTGGAGAATCTGCTACAATAAAAATGTTGATCAACTTATCTTAAGAATCTTCAATAAGAAAGGAAAACAAATGCGGAAGAATTTGAAGGAAGATTGGTGAGACATCTTTGAAGTTGATACATGCATCAAGGTAATTTGTAATCAATATTGGGTGGACCATTGGTTTTTTTCTTTTTTTCGATTACATCATGGCCAAAAGTACTGGAATTTAATCCTCTCTCACTAATTACCTTTTCAATTCATGGAAACTGAAAATTGCAATGGTCATGGTCAGAGAACATTATTCAGAGTCAATATTAGAGACCACAAAGTTATTTTTTAACAAGAAAATGTGGATTATCATATAGAGGTACAACTTCCGTATATTGTACTATCACATAAGACACTAATAGAGGTGTATGTAATTTATTTCTTGATTTTGTGACTAAATACTGGATCCTGTTTCACCTAGTAGGTAGTGGATATTGAAAATGAAGAGTAAAGTCAGAGGGTGCCTCGTACTACCAAAACAAAAAGGACAAAAAAATCAAAACATAAATAAGTACTAGTGCTTAAGGTACACTAGATATGTGTGCATGCAATAAATAAAAAAATAAATAAAATTGTTTTGTTTGAAAAAAATGATAGGAGAATTTTTTTTAAAAAAAAGAAATGAAAATTTATGAAGTGCAGAGTATCCGCTTAGGGTCAATGGTGGTTTGCACCCCTCAATTTTGGTTTGCACCCAAAAGAAATGTTTTCTAGGCTAGAAGTTGCCGCTAATGGAAAAAAAAAAAAAAAAAAAAGTACTATTTGAGTCGAGTCATCAGTCGCTTGTTCCCATTTTGGGTTCATTTTTAATTTGAAAAAATCTTTTATAGACCGGTAATATATATACTAATGTAATCCAGATACATATGATATATATATATATATAATATATATATATAAATTTAGTGTTAAAATTTAAACTACAATGATATAGTATGCATCGAGACACGTCACTGTATATACTGACAATATAGAAAAGATTAATTCTTTTAATTTAAGGTAGTAGAAGAAAGAATCACCATATTTCTAATGAATTTTTGTTTCTTTGATGATACCTATTTCAATTCCGTCCTTTTATCCGAAAGAGATGTTAACAAACCATCAATGACATCGACGACCGATTGACTACTGCTGATGAATTATGTAGCCTCCCGGAACTCATTGCGGTCTAAAATGTCATGCGAGCGGGTCTTAACCCCCAAATTACTGAGAATACAGGAAACAGGATGGCGCTTATGATAAACTCTTTTAGGGTCAATGGTGGTTTGCACCCTCAATTATCTTTAAATTGGATTTTGTGCCCCAATAGTTTCATTTCAGCAATTAACTACCTTCAATTTTTTTTTATTTTTAACTATCCACAACATTAAATTAAATCCTCACAAATTAAAGCAGTTTTAGATCTGTGAAAAGACCAACTATATCCGTATTATTCTCTTGTCTCCAATATTCCCTTTTGATAAATCACTAATATACGAAATTTTGGTTTTGCTTCGAACAGATTTTCTCATTCATAGCTATCCGCTTTGGTTTTGCTTCAGAAGATTACTTTCTATGATATTGATTATCCTTTGCACTTGGAGACAGATTTTTTTTTTTCGGAGACAGACATTTTATTAGGCTAGTACCCCTTTTTCGGTTTTAGTTTTCCTTTTTCTTGAAAAAAAAAAAAAGAACTCGTTTAAATATTATTAACGTTGAATCTTCAAGTTAATGTATAATGGATAATAACATGTTTTCCACGTTAAGGTACACGGATTGCGCACGCCCACAGAAAACAAATGCAATAGTTTATATTCTAGGTTTTGTATGATAGTACCAACTAGACGTCTAAGTTCTACCAAGATTGCTTCCACATTAATGAAAACTCCTGAAGACTAATCGAGCATCGATTTAGAGTTGCATGATGTAAGTTCATGGCTAGGCCATTACTAAGCATCCAAAAATAACATTCTTGCGGATTAAAAGAAAGGCTATGACCTTTTTCTAACACTATCTCCATATTATGGCCTTCTTTTTCTATCTTCTATGAATTTTTTTGCACTTTCTTTTCTTCTCTTTAACTCACTTTTCTTTGCCCTCTCAGGAGTATAGGTGAAAGTTTTTAAGTTTCGACGTACAATGAAGATGGGGGCTATATTTATAGGAAAATGGGATGATAATAAATCAACAAGAGAGGAGATGAAATTGTAACACATATCATAGGATCATGACATATGTTGGCTTGGATGATATGTGTCACACTATGGTGACACGTGGCCAAACTATGATAAACGTGCCAACTGTTGTGATATGTGTTACATCACTACTCGAAGTAAGATGGCGAAATCGTTTGTTATTTGTATACTGGTCCTTCAAGTTTGAGTAAATTGTGTTCAGTCCACAGGTGATTCAATCTATTAGCATTCAGGATTTTTCAGTAAATTTTTCAAGATGTTACATGTCCTTTTATTTAAGATATTACATGTAAATATAGAAGTACCCCCATTTGGATTCAATAAAAATAGTTTCAAAACCAAAATTCTTAATAGAGTCAAATTCAACTTTCCCTCCAAAAACCAAATTCTAGTTTTCAACTCAGGATTTAAGTTTAGGAGTCTTAGTTAGTAGGGTTATATGATTAGAAAAATTCTATAAAAAAAAAAAAAACAAGGTTAGCCTAATTTAATCATAGGGAGTGTAACAGCCCCACCTTCCCCTAAGGCGAACCAAAGGGGTTAGCGGACTGCCTGCCCAGCTCTCGCCAGGACTAACGGTGCAGTACAAAGCGATCTATCACGTTTTGAAACTTATAATGCGCGCAACAAGGCAAAAGGGCAAAATAACCCAAAATAAAATAAACGAAATCCAGAGTCGGCCACGAATAGTAACCGACCCATCCGAAACCCAACCAAACCTCGAAAACATATACAACATAACATTAACCATTTACAAGCCACAATGGCCTTTAAAGTGATACAAAAGTCACTACATATGTGGGTTGCCAAAACAAAAGTGAAAACGGCCCTAATGAAACATTTAGGGTCCCATTTTATATACAATACAAAAGAGGCATTCATCTAGTTCATTGCAACCATTTAACCAAAATTCATTCCAAAAGAGTCATATTCCTGTAAGGAAAACAAAAGAAACGGGGTGAGCTATATGCCCAGTGAGAATACAACCACCATAGCAGCTAAGATCACATAAGCACAACCGTTCAGTTCAAGTATGCAAATAAGCAATAAATCACATCAGTGAAAGGATACGGACGCTCTCAAGAGCCCATTTCCACGCTTATGTCTTGATCCAACCTCATTGACCCTCCGTCAATGTTAAATAATAACCAACCGTAGACAACTCTTTACTTCCATTCCTTCCACCCAACATTCCCCAACCGGCCCGCACTCCAATTCACTAGCTTTTGGTAATACTCGAGTATACCGGAACCAAGGGTCTCAATACCACAAGGTTCCCCAGTACAGTCCCCGTGGCAATTCAATCTTCACGACCAAGCCCTCGCCGGCTCGATCCAATTGACTACCAAACGGGGTTGAGCTCAGTAATACAGTAAGATCGTTGGACATCGTCCAAACAACACCAAATCAGTTTCCATAATATGAATTGCAATAACTCATATATCAAGTTCAGTAAGACAGTGAAACAGTGGACAATCAGTGATACTATCAAAAGGGGTGAGGGCGGTCAAGTACACCCTCACCTTAATCAATTCCAATATCCAAGTAAGCCTTCAAGGCATCACATATACATTTAGCAAAGCCACATAATAACATTTAAGTGAGTAGTATACTCACCAATCAATTAAGTGCTATTTCATGCACTTCCGTCAGGAGAATGTCGTGAACCACCGTCACGCCCTAGAACACGTAAACAAATGCAATGAGACTCGATAACGAGTCACATAACAATGCTGAACACAACCCCAATAGGGTTTCATATGCATATACAAGCATTATAGCAAACCAGAAATTCAAACAATGGCATTAGCCTTGGCCCCCAATAGAAACTGTTTTGCCCTTATTATGCGGTAATGGCGTCAAATTCACTACGGTTATCGGATGGGGGTGTAAGACCCACCGTTTCGAAGCTATGGAACAGGGCTACAATAATGTAGAAGACCACTCAATCCAGTTCCTAACACAACTTAGTCAAAAGTGCCAAATACTAAACCAGAATCACCAAAACAGGTTTGCAAAACACAGAAAACTGTAATCAGTATATCTCAGTCCATACAAGTCCAAATGCCGAAATTCTAAAGGCATATGTTATCTAAGACATTCAGATACATTTCATCAGAAGACACCAACTTCAAAATCCAAACCAATTCCAGTCAAAAGGGCCAATTACTAATGCAGTTTTCGCATTCTGATCAAAACAGAACAGCTACAGTAAAAACGGCATAACTCACTCTACACTCATCCAAATGACCTGAAATTTTACAGGCACCTGAAACATATCAATACCTACAACTTTCATGTTTTGAGCAAAGTCCAATTCGGCCTCTAACCCTATGATCCAAAACCGGACAGAATTGGGGTTTTATGAACCCTAACTTTTCAATTTTCACACCAAATCCAAAATTGGTTGCATTTTCTTATCCAATACACCTCATAGAGTCATTATCAGCCATAACCATTAATCATACAAGGCCACAACCTTCCATTCATATTAAACCAGAAAAATTCCCAATAAAATAAAAACTTCACCAAAACTCATCAAATCAAGAAATAAATCATATATTTCATCACTCAAGCCACCATTAAGCATCATATAACCATCATTAAGTATAGGGAAGAGGTTGAAGCATCACTCACCTAATAACAAGAGAGAGAAAGATGATGGACACCTTAACTCTTCCAAAAAGCTTCAATAAACCAACCAATATCACCAAAAGGAAAGATTGTATGGAGTAAAACTAACTTAAACTTTTGTTTGTGGAAGATTGAAGCATATGGAAGCTTGAAGTTGAAGATTTTTCCTTCTTCTTTGAGCTAAGAGGGCCGGCCATAAGAGGTAAGAAAATGGTGATTTTTGAGCAATTTTTAGATATTTAATCCTTTGGTCAAAAAA